CCTGGAGGGCGATGGGGGCCTCCCCATTTCCAGGGACCAGTGCAATTCGACCAACCGCAGGGTGTTGGGGGTGGGGGGTTGAGGGGAGCAAAGAGTCATCTAGGTAGTTAACCTGGGACTGTGCAAACAACTGTCCATTTGAGAACGTCCTCAGCAGATCGCCCCCGAGCCTGGTTTGCTACTGGAGCACGTACGGCATGTGAATTAAGCCGCTTCAGCGGGCACGGCCTGGAGCTTAAAATGTCACATTTCAGTCCCGGCCGCTGGGGCTTTGCCGGTCTCGCCATCGCTGGAGCATGACAGCCCCCTGCTCACCTCTCGGCTCCGGCCCCTCCACTTGAGGACCTGGTCACGGAGCTGTATTTTCTGCCATGGGCCTCAGGCCTAGGCTGGGGCTGCCTGGAACCGGATTCTGGGAACCTTTGAGAAAAATCCTGCGGAGAAGCAAAACCCCATCCCCCACCACCACACTAATATTAGACAGCGAACAGCCTCTCCAGCCAAGAGCCTGCCCTCACAGCCTGCCCGAGCGGCATCAGGCATAAGCCAACCGGCAGGTACCTGCACCCCATAGCTGCACAGCCTTGGCCCACTCCCCAGACAGGGGCGCCCTGAGGAGCTGCTACCTGTCTCCCTCCGACACTCGGGGAGCAGGTCTCTGCTGGAATCAGTGTCATTCCACCCCAGAGAACTGGGCCCTTGCACTGGGCACAGATGTTCTCATTGGCTCCATTGTAACTGGTTGCTGGCTTCATCCTCCTGCCTCCGTGGCAGCCCCTTAGCTACCCATCCTCGTACCCGTCGACCCGCTGTGCTTAACATCCTTCTCCTCTCCCCTCACTTCCACAATTCCTCCCCTTCAACAGAGTCGGTGAGGCCCAGAGCCCATCATGCGAGTGCCAAGCAGACTCTCCTGAGATTTCCAAGGCAGGGGAACAGTTCTGCCCTTGCAAGCCGACTCACAGTCCCTCGGAGGTTAGATTGCACAGGGCAGGGCTGGATTTGCCCCGAGGAACACAGGAGACCATTCGGCAACACTAGGGCATCTGGCTGCCCTCGTGCTCCTCCAGGTGCAGCATGCACGTACGGTACGTGATCAGTCTCACCTGCGCCCGGCAGATGTCCAGCATGATTCCTGCCCGAACCAGGCACCAGATCTCACCCACCAGCGAGATGAAGATGTTCATGATGTCCATCCACCGGCCCACCGTCATGAGGAGGATGAGCAAGCCTCCCATCCTCACAAACACCGTCTGATAGACCATCTGCTCGCTGGGGTTATGCCTCTGCTCCTCTGTCAGGAACAAAACGGTCACGGCATGAACCATTTCCTCCCCTCCCTTTGGGCTCGGGCAGCAGCTTCAGCCAGGTGGCTGCTATGGCCAGGAAAATGGTCCCTTCCTAAGACATTGGATTCAGCTACACTGGCGCTGGAGGTGTAACTCCCAGCTCGGGCTGACAGATCTGCACTGGCTTTGACCAAACTAACGTGCTAAGAACAGACGAGTAGCTGCAGCGGCACAAGCGGTGGGACGGGCTAGCCACCTGAAGTACGCACCAAGGGTCCCGTACTACGCGTCAGCATAGACGCGCCCTTTGCGGCCGCATTGCAGCCACGGGAGAGCAAACTGGCGTCTGTTCTGCCTCCGGGGAGGGGCTGCAGGAAGCCATGCTCCTGACCTGCTGCCCGGGACAGTCCAGATCTCTGCCCTTGACAGAAATCGGAGAATGGATCGTAGGCGTTGGAGTCCTATGACCTGAGCTAGGCAGGAGGTCAGAGGAGAGGATCACAGCGGTCACTTCTGGATTTATAATCTGGGGGAATCAAGGTGGTGAGAACAGTTCCCAGGACAATGCTTCATTGCAAGGGCAAAGCTAAATGCGGAGGTTAAGAACGAGAGAGAAACATGCCTGAGCGTTACCAAAGCTACACAAGCAGCAGGAGAGAATTGGGTCCCAATCTGGTTCCAAAAACATTCCCGCCCACCACACTCGCTCCACCAACGAAGCGCAAGACAGAAGCGGCACATCATCAGAACAAGCTCCCATTGGCTGATCGTACCCTGGTGGGCAACTTGACCCCTTGTCCTGCATCCAACGGCTGGACTTGCTCATTGGGAGGTCTCCATTTAAAGGTCCCGTTTTGAGCGGTTAGTCCCCACGAATAAGACCAGGGGGTTCCTCCGTCATGCCTGGAAGTGCACAAAACAAATCCCCTTGCCAAAAAAACCTAGGGGCCTTGGGAGCATCCGGCCAGGAAGGAGCTCAGCTGGTTTCCAGCTGCCACGGGGACCTCACCTTGCATGTAGATGACCAGCAGGGTGTAGCAGATGGTGAGCGGCGTCCAGAAGCGAATGGCCTCCGAGGTGGTGAGGAAATCCCTGTTGATCAGCGCGACAGCGGCCAGGTCAGCCACCACGAAGGTGATCTTGAGGGCGTTGCAGAGCAGGGCGGGGATGCCGTGCCAGGCGGTGAGCAGGAAGATGCAGACCCCGCAGTAGCGCTCCTTGCTGTGGAGCTCGTACATGGTGCAGACGTGCCGGGCCAGCCTCCAGACGTAGCAGGTGATCAGGCCGGCCAGGCCCAGGCTGAGAAGCAGGTTGTAGCTGCGGTGGGGAGCCCCCTCCAGGAGGTAGCTGAGGCTGCAGGAGATGCCGCACCCCAGGGAGTACTGGCACAACAGGTACAACTGGCTGCTGTGGGCCCCCTGCGGAAGCGGAGCATTGGAGATGCAGCACGTTAGCTACACGCCCGTGGGATGGCTAGTTACACATGTTCCTCCAGACGGAGCCCAGTGGCTGGTCTAATTCCCCGGCACAGCAAGTGGAAACCACTCAAGACATCAGAGAGCAGCCGCCAACTTGGGGCGGCTAATGTTACACCACAGCTAAGATCGTGGTGGTGTCACAAGACAGCGGAGTAAGCGCTGGGACCAGAACACGGCTCCTTCAGCTACCCACCTACCACCTGAGCTACGGGACTGCCCCAAGACAGGTAGCTTCTTTGTTCTCCGTTGCCCTCTAATGTCTGGCACAACATCCCTTTGCCTGTCCTCTCCTCCACATCCACACCCCCACGTGGCCTGTGGCCATGAGTTAGGACTTTGTAGACCTCTGCCTTGAGGTTTCGTGAGCTGCAGACCCTTGGGCGGAGGAGCACTGGTAAAAACGAGGAGCTCCCAACCCTGGTAGGTTCTCCCATCCCACAGCAGCCCAGATACAGGACGGTTTGATGAGCAAAACCTCTGGGCCTACACTTGCTTCTAATCACTGTCATCTGACGCTGCCCAGGAAGGGTGGTCCAGCGGCTAGTACCCTAGGCCGGTGGTTTTCAACCTTTTTTTTCTGGCAACCCAGTTGAAGAAAATTGTTGATGCCCACGACCCAATGGAGCTGGGAATGAGGGGGTTGGGGTGCGGGAGGGGTCAGGGCTCTGGGGTGGAGCTGGGGTTTGGGGTGCAGGAGGGGTCTCTGGGTTTGGGGGGCCTCAGGGCTGGGGCAGGGGTGTGGGAGAGGGTCAGGGTTCTGGGTTGGGGGTGCAGGATCTGGGGTGAGGCCAGAGATGAGGGGTTTGGGGTGCAGGAGGGGGCTCCAGGTTTGGGGGGCTCAGGGCTCTGGGCTGGGGGTGCAGGCTCTAGGGTGGGGCCAGGGATGAGGGAGTTGGGGTGCAGGGGGGGCACAGGGCAGGGGATTGGGGCGTGGGGTTGGGGCACGGGCTTACCTCCAGCTGCTCCCGGTCAGTGGTGCAGCCAGGGTGCTAAGGCAGACTTCCTGCCTGTCCTGGCACTGTGGACCGCGCTGCACCCCAGGAAGTCGCCAGCAGCAGGTGCAGGCACTGCCCCCCCAGCTCATGGGAACTGGCCAATGGGAATGTGGAGCCCGTGCTCAAGGTGGGGGCAGTGCACAGAGCCTCGTGGCCCCACCGCCTAGGAGCCGGACCTGCTGCTGGCCATTTCCAGGGCGTAGCACAGTGTTACACAGGTAGGGACTAGCCTGCCTTAGCCAGGCACTACCGCCAACGGGCCTTTGACTGGCCCGGTCGACGGTGCTGACCAGTGCTGCCGCGACCCAGTGCCTTCCATTCCACAGTTTGAAAACCACTGCCCTGGGCTGCCACTCAGCAGATCAACATTTGACTCCTGGCTCTAGTCTCTTGGGGTACGTCTACACTTACCAGAGGGTCCGGCGGCAGGCAATCGATGTTCTGGGATCGATCCCGGAAGCGCTCGCCGTCGACGCCGGTACTCCAGCTCGGCGAGAGGAGTACGCAGCATTGACGGGGGAGCCTGCCTGCCGCATCTGGACCCGCGGTAAGTTTGGACTAAGGTACGTTATTAACGTAGCTGAATTTGCGTACCTTAGTCCGAAGTGGGGGGTTAGTGGGGACCAGGCCTTGGTCCTCAGACCAGCGAGGTCTGGAGAAGTAATCAGCGTCAGCTCAGCAGCACCTCCCTCAGGTCAGTCCCAGGGGTGTTCAGAGACATCAACGAAGGGACTGCCCTTAGTCACTGGGCACTCCCTGGGGCAGGAATCTTACGGGCAAATGGAAGATGGAGAACCATGCACAGTGTGGCCTAGTGAATAGAGCACTAAACTGGGACTCATGAGACCTGGGTTCTGTTCCTGACTCTGTGTGACTTTGGGCAAGTCTCTACTCCACTCTGCCTCAGTCTCCCCTTCTGTAAAATGGGGATAAACGACACAGATCTCCTTTATTAAGCATTTTGAGATCTACTGAAGAAAAGTGTCCTGTCAGAGCTGTGAGTTATTACTACAGTGCACTAGACTATACATCAGGAATCCACCCTCCTGGTCCAGGCCCAGCGATGGCTCATACACGACTACAGAGAGTATCAGGAGATTATTACACAGGCCCTTACCCAGAGACGACGACTCACCTTATTCAGGGACAGCAGCATAGACACAGCCCTGAGGGAAAACTCCAACACCACCAAAGCAGCCACGCGATACCCAACCACCGTGAAGATCAACGTCAGTAGAAAGAGGTGGACGTGATCCAGCAGGGACCACTGGGAGCGGATGGTCTCCTTCTCCTTCTGCCTGTCCGGGTCACTGGGAACAGAGAGACACACGCTCAGGACCAGCCCTCCGACTCCCCCCATTACTCCAACCAAGAGCAGCTTTTCTTGCTTTCGCCTTTGGTCCATCCAGGCCCCTCTCCTGCCTGGAGGATGCCCCCTGCTCCCCAAGTCCTCCATCCACAGCAGCTAATAACCTACCACAGCAGCTCAGGATCCCAAAGTGTTACCCGTCTGCTCTAGTTTATTCATAAAGGCCAGCACCGCACATCCAGCCCCAGCGAGATGCAGCCGACTCTGGGGAGAGGAGCTTGAGTCAAAGACACCAGGCCTCAGCCGTACGCTTATGAACGAGGGGCAGGAGATCTTCACAGAGCAGCGGGACTCGTGTGGGTCTTTGGGTCTGACCCAAGAGATCCAGGCACACGAAGCTGCCCAGGGTTGGCTCCACCTGATGGGCAGCGACTCCAGAATTCTGGCCACACAAGAGGCCCCCTCAGCCGGAAAGTAAATAATAACCCCAAAGAAACCCAGTTGCAGACTCTTCCCCCACCCCAGCTACCCACCCATTCTCCCAGAGCTCTTCAACCTACACCATGTCCCCTGTCCCAGGCCCCCCCGGCAGCTGTTCTTCACAGATCATCTCCTGGGCTCTGGCCATGGGGGAGAGCGGGTCCACTCTGGTGGAGGGTTCAGGGCCAGGGAGGGGGGTGTTCCCCTTTGGCTTTTGAGGTGGCAGGTCTGCCCTGAGCAGTGTTGGGGTGGGGGGCAGATGTCCCAAGGCTGGAGCAAGGAGAAAGGGAAGGGACCCCTTCCAGAAGCAGCTGGGGCTGGGTTGAATAGGCTGCAGCCCCTTGTGCAGGGGTAGCTTGGTGCTTTCTCCTCCCAGTGCTGCAGGCAAAGGCTCTGGGGTGCGCCCCCATAGGCACCAGAGACACCCAATTCCCAGCCACAGGAGCGCTAGTGGGTCCCTCTCAGAGAGGGTGGAGCAGCTCGACCAGCAGAGGTTGCCAACCATCCAGGATTCATTTCATGCAATGAAACCTCCAGGAATAACGCCAACCAGAATTGGCCACCTGAAGAGTGGCCTGTGCATTGCGGGGTGGGGCACAAAGCCTTCTTTTTTTTGCCAATCTTCCCCCTCTTCCCCAAGTGTAACTAGTATCTGGCCCCTGCTGCCCCCCAGAGGCAGCCTTAGGACTGTGGGGCCAGCCAGGGAGCTGATCTAACACATTGGCCGAGCCAAGAGAGGCCCTGAACGTGTGTCTGTAACGCGATAACTTTGGAAGGCCGGGTCTGGTCAATTCCAAAAGCCAGGGAATGTTCTAGGCATCACTGGGCAGAACCCTATTGATTGGGGGGGAAGGGAGGGAGGTCAGAGAAACCCAAAGGAGGAAGTGGGGAGACCCTGTCATGTGGTTGGCAGAGCCAGCAGCTTCAACCAGGCTTGCAGCCATGGGGGGGCAGCCATGAATACCATCCAGCGTCACACCACCCCAGCCCAGCTGTGCCCATCCTCCCCATAGAGGCTAACATGCTGACCCCCAGAATGACTTAGCGCCAAGACAGAAGGAATTAATAATGGGCTTGCGGGGGGGAAGGGAGGCCCCCAGAGCCATGGGTATGGGGAAGAGGGAATGTGGGTACAGAGAGCCCCTGGCATGCAGGGCAGAAAGAGAGAGAATTTTATGGGGGAGGGGGACACCCTGTGCCCTGGCATGAGGGAGGAGCGGGGGGATTGCAGGGAGTCCCTGTATTTTTAATGGAGCTATCCCATCTCCTAGAACTGGAAGGGACCTTGAAAGGTCATCGAGTCCAGCCCCCTGCCTTCACTAGCAGGACCAAGTACTGATTTTGCCCCAGATCCCCAAGTGGCCCCCTCAAGGATTGAACTCACAACCCTGGGTTTAGCAGGCCAATGCTCAAACCACTGAGCTATCCCTCCCCCCCTGTAGTAGAAGGGGATGAGGGGGCAGCACACAGGGATGGGGGGGGGGACAGAGGGATGTGTGCAGTGAGCTGGGCCTACACAAGGCATGAAGTGTGTCACGCCCTTGTTGTATAGACTAGTAACCAGCGTGTGTGAGTGTGAGAGAGCGAGAGCGAGCGCGGGGGGGGGGGGGGGAGGAGGGGGCAGCCTAGCCCCAGATACCAGTTAATCTTTGCAATCAGCTCCAAGGCTCTGCCCAAGGGAAAAGAGCTAGAGACTCAAACAGCTTTTCCCCCGCCAGGCCCAGGGGCAGCTCCGATACCAGGGGACTGGCAGTCCAGCAGGGGACAGAACCCGCCATTCCAGACAGCCCGGTATGGTCCCACTGCAGGCCAGTAGGCTGCGACCCGCCTGGATTTTAATGCCAGGCGTCAGAGTCCATTCTATCTCCACTCATGCAGCTGGCGTGCCCGTCTCAACTGAACCCGCAGGGCGGTGGGACCCGGGGGCAGGGAGAAAGGGCTTGGAGGAAATCAAAGCTGCTCAGGGAATCATTTTTGTTGGGACGAGCGATTCCTCCCCCACTTACTTCAGACACTGGATGTAGAGATAAATCTTCACCAGGCTGCAGAGCACGGACACGGCACAAGCTCCTATTAGCCCTGCAGGGGAGAAAAGAGCCAGGTGGGTCCTGGGGAAGCCAAGGAG